TTTTAGCTGTTTTATGACTGTTCTACTGATATCTAAACAACCACTCATTGGATTTTAATGAAACTTGGTACATAGATGCTCTAAACTAATGCTAGGTTTTGATCAGTTTTTGTAAGAATTGCCTAATTACTAATTACCTAATTTGCATAATGATTACTAGTAGTCAATTTTTGTTTTAACCACTGATATCTCAAGTACTAATCATCACATTTCAATGAAACTTTGTACATGGATGTTGTAGGACAATAGACAGACCTGATAGTTTTTAGGGTAATATCAGTGCATATTAATAACCTAATTTGCATAATTAATTAATTTTCAGCTTTTGATGTTTCAAGTAGTAAGCATTACATTTCAATGAAACTTGGTACATAGATCCTTTAGGACTATCTAGAGACCTGATTAGTTTTAGGGTAAATAATTGTGCATATTAATTACCTAATTTGCATAATTAATTTTCAGCTTTCACACTGATTTCTCAAGTACTAATCATCACATTTCAATGAAACTTTGTACATGGATGCTGTAGGACAATAGACAGACCTGGAAAATTGTGGGTTAAAATCTGTACATATTAATTAATAATTTGCATAATTAACCACTTTTAAGCTATCACACTGATATCTAAAGTACTAATTATTCCATTTCAATGAAACTTAATACAAAGATGCTCTAGGACAATGTACAAACCTGATTAGTTTGGGGTTAAAATCTGTTTATATTAATTCCCTAATTAGCATAATACGTAATTTTTTTTGGTTCCAATCACATTTAATAAAACTTGGTACATAGATGGTCTGTTACATTGCGCAGGCCTCATTAATTTTACATTCAAATCTGTGCATATTTATTTTCTGATTTGCATTATTAGTTTTCAGCTTTTCCATCACTATCTCAAGCACAAGTAATTATTTTTAATGTGTCTCCAATACTCTCAGCACATGGGAGTTCTTTCTAAGCTTTCTTTGATTTTGTCTTGGTCATACATTGACAGTCGTCATTCAAACTTGATTCATACAATGTACATATTGGGATCTTTGTTGGTCATCATTTTGTTTCCTTGTTCAGATTCAAAAAGGTTGACTGACTGACATAACAAATACTGTTTCAGAGCCATGTCTCTGACATTCCTTGGTGGTGGCAAAGAACTGAAAACCTTGTCTTGATTGGCGTTTGATGCTTCACGAAGTTCTTCATTGACATGTTAATCTTGACACATACTGATTTAGACCTGCCTTCTGCTGGGACGGAACTCTCCATGTAGTTATTTTTACCACATGTTGACTTGACCATTCATACACACATTTGGGCTCATGCAGACTTGGTCCTAATGCTCATCACATGTCGAGATCTGTAACATGAATGCATATGTTGAGAGAGTCTACACCTACAAATTTGATTAATTTTTCTGTTCATTGCTCTCCCAGCTCTGGTCAGGAAGTACAGAGAATAAGTGTTATTAAGAGTCTTCCACAACTGCTTACAGATCATAATGCTGAATGTATGAAAAGGGTTGTTCCCAAAGTGAAGGTAAGTGACCAACCTCAAGCGATTAGTTAATTTCACTTTCAAAAAGTTACTGTAAACCACAAATAAAAAAAAAAAAATTGACAGGTGTTTTTTCACATTTGGAAAATCTTTGGGCTTTTTCTTGTGGCTTAATTAATTGCAAAACTGTGTGATTGATGTTCTACCATAGTGATTATTGGATGCAATACAAGACTTGTGTCTAAATATTATGACAGAAGATTTTTGGAGTATTGTTTCGCATAAAAAAATTCTATGTACTGGTAATTAAAAAGTGTACAAATTCTGCATACTAAAAGAATGCTTCTTTACTTTCAAGAAGATATTTAACATGATCAAATGTTATCTGAACCATATTTGTACTTTGATTCCTTTTATATGTTTAGAAAATCTTAGGTAATTGCCATAATTGCCTCACTTGTGCTGAATGGGAATGGAGGGTAGAGATTTTGCCTAGAACCATGTTTGATTTTTGAAATCTAAGTGACAGGTCGCATGGCCTGCAGAGATATATATTGTGTGTGTGTAGATTTTGTAGTGGGAAGCCTAGCATTGTCTTAATATAGTTAAAGATTTCCGGATGACCAGCCATCCTGATAACTTCACTCATGTGGAAACAAGTAATAGAACTAAAGTGTGATATCGGTTGATTGATTTAGGAATTAGGAATAAACGTTTACACAAGTGTCACATCACTTAGCACAACATTCTGTGTTGTTGCATTAAAAGTCGCCATCTGATTTCTTTATGCACTGATATTTTAATATCATGATCATGAGGATTGAGTATTTATTAAATTCATAATTGTGTTATCGATTTACAAAATAATTTGATTCATGCAAACACTTGACAATTTTTTTTGTGGTGTGATTTATTTCTATCTTGCTTAAGATTTAAGTAATGATTTATTTACTATCGTGAATGAAAAATACCGCTCACTGGAACAACTCTTTTTGTTATTTTTTAGTTCTCGTAGTACAGTGTTTTATTGTGCATTTAGTATAAATGTTTGCTTTTGGAGAACTGCTATTTTTTAATTCACCCAACATAAATGTAACTTGGTTCACATGACAACTATCATCTCTTTGTAGGAAGTTCTCCATGTAGCGGGCACTGACGTCCAAATAGCAGCAACGCAATCTTTTCTCATTATCATAGAAAACCAAATAGTATCGTATCAGCAGTTTGCACAGACGTTTCTACAGAGTATGTTACAGAGCATCGACAATCGCGATCCAGGTGTGTAAATAAACAAAAACATTACGTTTGTTCGATTTTTAAATCTGCATTACTGTGCTATTTCATGACTTGGCAGCAAATATTTAATAGTCACTGATATAATTCATGGTGTCATTACAATGCAATTTTTCTTTACAAGTTTGAGGCATATGATTATTCAGCTGTATTAAGTACTGATTTATGGTAAATCATCTGAATAGCATTTGATTTGACTTCATCCAATTGTGCTATCCAAATGAAAAATGTTGCCATACTCTAGATCAACATCATCAATCTATGCTTTTTTTTTTAAATACAAGGTGCCTAATGTTACTCATAAACATAAATAATCCTAGCATTTTAAAGTCACTTTGTTTTCTCTTTAAAATCAATACATAATCTGTTATTCATACTAACCATGGAATATTTTACCTCTGCTTAAATGGCACCTGGAAATAAGGAGTTTTTTGAATGCCCACCTCAATCCAGTAACAGGAAATTACATATCTTAAGTTTACATTAGTAGACATCTCTTTGTGATATATGTTTGTGCATGATTGATGTCTTGCCTGCATTTAGTATTATTTCCTGTCTTGTGCTGCAACAATTTTGTCATCACTAATTATGAATGCCCTGTCTGACGTGAACAATATCTCGCTAAAAGCAAGGAGTGCCCAGACACAATACACTTGTGTATTAAATACTATGCATTATGTTAACAATCACTGTTATGCCATGAAATGGGAGTCTTCCCTAATTAAAATGATTCAAGTTTGTTAAATTAATGATACTAAATTAATAATAATGATAATATATATATTATAATGAATAATAATAAATGGATAATTATTTTCCTGATAATAAACTGATAAGAATTATAAAAATAGTGATAAAAACTATGATAAAATCTGGTGATTGTTGATAATAATTAATATTTAACTGACAGCTATGGTGGTAATTACTAATAAAATAAACCTGATAATGAAGTAAATTAATGAGTGACTGATGCTTTTATATTTGTCATCTAAACTATGTTCACCCCCACCCCAAATATCATAGCTGTATTTCACTTTTTCTAAATTACCAAGCTTGTAGACAGAAAGGAAAAGAAAAGGAAGTAGAAGGTGGGATTTCAAGCAAACATGTTTTGGTAAAAAAAAAAATGTGATTTTCGCCCCTATATTTTTCCATCATTTCATATTGCATGTAAAACCTGTTGTGTGTAAATGTCTTGGGTTGTGTAGTACATAATGTGTTTACTCTGCATGTTACTTGACATTGTGTTTGCATTGCTTCTAACATTGTTTTTTGACTGACTGTGGCAGTGCCACTATTCATCTATAGTTGCCAGAATACTGCTTCACCCTGATGTTTGTGGGGTATGGAAGTTATTTTCATGAGTGGTGTGGTGTATCCTGCGGCCCCATTTGCGTGAGCGAAGCAAGTGCAAATACTGCATAGATACATCACAAGCAGAAATATCTTCCCTATCCCACAAACTTTGCGGCTTGGTTATGGCATTTTGTTATTATTAAATATGTTCCTAGACGAAAATTTCCAGGAGTCGTAAGCACTTCATCCAAAACTTTGGTATGAGTACATTCCAGGGCAGTGACCTTTTCTAAAATCTGTCCAATGATTGGTTAATCTGGCGGCCCATTCTATTCTTATACAAATGTAGCAGACATGCTTAGGTTGCTGAGTTTGCTGCGGAGTTGACAATGCTGACTAAACAACTGAGCTAATTGCTTTTGGTTGGGTATTAAAAAAGTCATGTCAATATCAAGTCTTGTGCATTAATTATTCATCAGCAAATGACAAAGCATATAATACATCTTTTGGATTTATGTAAATTACATACGTTCAGCACTGTCCACTGACAGTGCAACTTATTGCTAAAACCACACTTTCTCATTGTGTTTCCAATACATATTGAACAATGCTCAGGTATGATAAATAATAATAAATTGAGTTACACATGTTACCACTACTAAAGCACAAAAACAAAATCAAGGGTACTGGATTATCATTGACTCATAGTCAATAATGAGTTTTATTGACTGCCACATGACCATGTTAGGGCCAATCAACATGACAATCTTGCACGCGTGGAATAATAATTGTGTTTATCAGTATCAGACCTGTACATATATGTGATAGTTAACTGACGACTATGACTGGCTGTTGCATCCATTTTCAACACTTCTGAACTCTCCTATTGGTTTTGCACACGTGTTTGCTTTCACAGTTTTTGAATATAGTTTGAATAACTTTAGACTGAATTTTCTTTGCCGCACAAACTGATTCCATAAATGGCTTTTTAAATCTTAGATAGCTGAGTTGTGTTTAAATATTTTGCCAAACACAATCTACATTAGAATTAATTTCATCTTGCATACATACATACACAATGTTTGTCACCCATTGACTCAAATGTCACATTAAATTGCACGTGTTGACACTTTAATTTGTTTGAGTAATAAATTGGAGAGTCATATTATCTTCCAGCATTTCAATTAGTCTTCAGCAATCATGCATACTGGAATTGTCTAAAATTATAAGATAGATGACTGTCTTGGCATTTGCAAAGTGTAACATAATATACATGTTTTTTCTCCATTGCAGCCATTGCATATTCTTGGTTGGAGACATTATTACAAGTGATATCTCTTCTTCCAAAGGACATCACCAAAAATGAAGTAAGTCTTGACAAATATTGCGCAACGAAGTTGAAGTTATTGTATCTGAATACAAAAATGTATATTGAAATCATACACAACAAAGTTGTGAACCACACCTTAGATCCTTGAAATAAATAAATAAAATTTACTACCAAACCCTGAACCCTAACCTACGAGCCAGTCTGTTACCCTATTGCTTCCTTGCTAGGTTGAATCAACTAAGCTGGTATAAATAACACTTGATAGCTGCATGAATGGAATACCCTTTCCTCCATTTGTATGCCAAAGTCATTTGCCGTAATCAGTGCAAGTAAATGAACTTGGTTATATGCCATAATTAGAGCAAGTGAACTGGGTTATATCACATATCTCGTATTGCCCGGCCTCGTAACGCTATGGGAAGTGTGCCCTCATATCAGGGCATTAATTTCCCATGTTATGCCCGGCCCACAGTGCCCAACTTTCATCTATCTAAACAAAATGCGTCATTCTAAATTACTTTGTGCGTTTGAAGTCATGCCGTGGTAAAACTGTAATTACATTACAATTAGGTACATGTATATGATAAAACCTTTATGGACTAGATACAGATTTTACTGCCCTTAGTCGTACGGCTTACGCACCCTCGCAAGCTCAGACAATTCCGCCGCACGACTTTGGGCTGCAAAAGCCATATCCAATTCATAAAGATTAATATGTCATATTCAGTGCAAGTGAATGAACTGGGTTATGTCATCAGGACAAGTGAATGAACTGGGTTATATATCATAAGTGCAAGTGAATGAACTGGGTTATGTCATCAGTGCAAGTGAATGAACTGGGTTATGTCATCAGTGCAAGTGAATGAACTGGGTTATATGTTATAGTCAATGCAAGTGAATGAACTGGGTTATATGACATAGTCAGTGCAAGTGAATGAACTGGGTTATATGACATAGTCAGTGCAAGTGAATTAACTGGGTTAAATGTCATAATCAGTGCAAGTGAATGAAATGGGTTATGTCATCAGGCAAGTGAATGAACTGGGTTATATGTCATAATCAGTGCAAGTGAATGAACTGGGTTATGTCATCAGTGCAAGTGAATGAAATGGGTTATATGTTATAGTCATTTGCAAGTGAATGAGCTGGGTTATATGCCATAATCAGTGCAAGTGAATGAACTGGGTTATATGTCATAATCAATG